CCTCGGTCAGAGTGCAGGAAGGTCCTGGTGGAACCGCTCGCGGAGCTGGAGATGGACTGCTCGGATGCAAGGGATCAAGACATCAACGATATGACCCTTGCTGCGCAAGGGGAAGACCGTGGTGTATCGCGTGTAGTCGTTAACGACCAGCAGAAAGAAGCGCTCGCGGCCCTGTCCACTGACGCGGGCTGGGCCCCACACGTCCATGTGGAGAGTCTGCACGGGAGCAGTCGTCGGGGGAAATGAGGAGGAGTGAGGAGCGGCTTGCTGCCGCCCCTCGACGCAAGGAAGGAAAGGCGGGGCCGACGAGGGCGGGAGGGGAGGCAGAGACCTGGGAAGACCAGAGACAAGGAGGTGGGAGTGCATGCCACGCAAGCGTGGCAGGGAGGGGTGTCCAAGGCGGTGGTGCCAGAGGAGAGTCTGGTGCGACAGGAGGCGACACGAGCAAGGGGGTGCTACCTGACCTGACGCGGACACCTGGGCAGACGTAGCTATCTGTGGAGACTCTGTAGCCAGTGTGTACAGACTCGACCCTGGCCGACGAGTGAACGTGGCCAGGTGACGACGACCCGTCCGTGTACACGTGCAGATCGACACACGCTGACCCCCAGGAGTGGTGGTAGTGACCATCGAATCCTGGAGGGTAGCGGTACTCACCAAGTTCGTAGAGAACAAGGGGAGGTGAAGACCTGACAGTGAGCCGGACGGAATCGCCGGACACGGGAGGACAGTGGAGGAATGTGCAACGTCTGGGCCCCCGGAGGGATCAGCCAGTCTGACCGGGACAGGTGCGGGGAGAGGAGTGAGGGTGGTGGTGTCACGAAAGAAACAGCGTGAGGCACTTGAGTCCAGTGTGAAGGTGTGCAAGGCCTCAGCAGGCGCAGTACTAGGGGGAGAAGACTCACTAGCACCTAAAGCAGCAGCCTCTATACCTGGGTCAGGCGGCACACACCGGTAACAGTCACCCTCAGCACTAGCAGACAAAGCATACATAGCAGAAAGAATAGCATCATAGTCTAGGTCAAAGATCGCATCATAGTCTAGGTCAAAGATTGCAACTCCAGACCTTATCAGCTCTTCCCAGTGGGGGCGCTCGACATCATCACCAAACTCAGCACGCCAAGCGTCGTCGAGACGGGAGAAGCAGCGGTTCTGAGTGTAAGGCTTCCCGCATGTCTGACCAGCACGGTCATCCGTGCGAATGACATACGAGCAGCTCACACTACCCCCAGGCTCCCCACGCTGAATCAACCACTCACAAAGCTGATGGGGCGACGGGGTCTCGCTCCGACGCTGCTGCCGCTGCCTCTGGCCTCCTCTAGAACCTCCACGCTGAGCTCCAGTCCTACCGCCACCACTCCCACCGCTGCCACTACTGCCACTCCCACCGCTGCCTCCACCGCCGCCACCAACGCCCCCACTCCCGCCACCACTCCCACCGCTGCCACCACCTCCACTGCCTCCACTACCTCCACTGCTGCCCCCACCACCACTCCCGCTGCCACCTCCACCACCCCTGCCACCCTTGCCCTTGCTGCTGCGGCGCTTCGCACTAGCAGAAGCAGCCCCGACATCCTCAGCACCAAGGACGTCAACAGCAGCAGCAGAGGTGTAGGAGGGGGCAAGGGGGTAGGGGGAGCACCCCTTGAATAAGGGCGTGCGCGGAGTGCCACGAGTAGCACCTACAGCGACTACACTAGTCTCAGCTGCAAGGAGGTGCTGCTCGAGTAGGTCAACAGTGAGGACTGTGGGGTCAAGGGAGAGAAAGTGGTCCCTGACAGAGCGAAGAGAGTCAGGGAGGCGGGTGACTGTAAAGTAGAGAGTGATGAACATCGGGGGCTGGTTCCTGTCAAGGAACTTAGCGGGGGCGGCAGCGCAGTAGCGAGCGTCGTTAGCGCGAAGGTGGGAAACCAGGTCCTCGACGGTGGCAAAGGCGGACAGCTCGGGGAACAGGTAGGGCAGTAGCAGGCGGCCTAGAGCAGCAGTGGCAGGCGAGGAGTAGCGAGCTACGACAGCGTCGTACAGTGCCTGTGCTGTCCTGTGCTGTCCGAAGTGGGCGCATTCGGCTAACGGCAGGTGGTTGCGAATGGCTAAGCGGGCAGCAGCGTCGCGAGTAAGCCACAGTGAGTGAGTCGCACTGTCAGCTGTGGCAGGAGGGGCGGGAGCAGCGCCAGACGTGTGGTCAAACAACGAAACACTGTCCCTAGAGTCGCTCAGTAGGTAGAGCTGCAGGTCGTCGAGCCACGTGTCAAACTGAATCGGTCCGCCCTCATGATCGAATGCGAGAACGCAAAGCGAAGCCATAGCGGTGCAGCACGCAGAGCGGGGAGAAGCAGGGCAGCGCAGAGCAGAGGGCAGGCAGCAGCAAGAGGCTGTGGGAGGGCCGCAAGGGGCGGCTAGCAGAGCAGCAGGGGTGGCTAGAGGGCCACCAGGGGCGGCGCGCAGGGCTGCAAGGGCGGCTCGCGAGCTGCAGGGTCGAGGGGCGGGTCGGAAGGGGCTGCTCGCGGGGCTTGGGGTCGACTGTCGGGCCGGGGCCTAGGAGCGACGGGTCTAGGGGCGACGGGCCGGGGCCTAGTGGAGTCGGGTCGGGGCCTAGGGGAGTCGGGCTTAGGGGCGTCGGGCCGGGGCCTAGGGGAGCCGGGCGACGGGCCGGGGCTAGGGGCGACGGGCGCGGGCGTAGGGGCGTCGGGCGTCTGGCCGGGGCGCGTGGGCTAGGGGCAACGGGCCGGGCTAGGGGCGACGGGCCGGCCTAGGGGCGACGGGCCTAGGGGCGCGGGCCTAGGGGCGACATGCGCAGGCCTAGGGCCGGCTGGCGACGGGCCGGGGCGTAGGGAAGTCGTGCGACGGGCCGGGGCTAGGGGCGATGGGCGCAGGCCTAGGGGCGTCGGGCAACGGGCCGGGGCGTAGGGGCGGCAGTCGCGGGCGTAGGGGCGTCGGTCGACGGGCCGGGGCGCGTGGGCTAGGGGCGACGGGCCGGCCTAGGGGTGACGGGCCTAGTGGCGACGGGCCGGGCTAGGGGCGACGGGCCTACGGGCCGGCCTAGGGGTGACGGGCCTAGGGGCGACGGGCCAGGGCGACGGGCCTAGGGGCGACGGGCCGGGTGTCGAAGGGCCGGGGCGACGGGCCAAGGCGACGGGCCTAGTGGCGACGGGCCTACGGGCGACGGGCTATGGGCCGATGCCTAGGGGCCTGGCCTAGGGGTCGACGGGTCGCGACGGGCAGTAGGGGCAGCACGAGGGTTGCAGAGGGCGGCTAGCAGGGTAGCGCTGTGGTGGGCCCAAGGAAAAAAAACGGTCCATGCGAAGGACCTGCTCTGAAACCATGGCAGAAGAATGAACGAGAATGAATGAACTATGAAACAGTTGGGCACAAGTACTAACCCTAATTGGGTTGTACCCCTTATGGGCTACCCCACTATAGCCTACACAAATGTAAGCACTATAACATTCTGACATGATGTCGTTATTGCCACTCGTTGCGGCGAACTCCACGTGCCGACGGGCTTTGCGAGGCCCTTGTGTGCTTGGTGCAGCCCTGTTCCTCTCCATGCCAGGCATTGAGTGAGCGGCGCCATCACTGGCTACGCCCAAGTGTTGTCCCACGCTGTCGTTTTGTGTCGGTGTGCCTGATGAGATGACGATCGGCTCCTCCGATTGTGCAGGTGCATTTGCAGGTGCGTGTGTTGGTGCTAGTTCATTCACCGTCGATTGTTGGCGAGCGGAGTCGCGTTCCGCCATGAGTGTCGCAATTTCGAGCGCCGAATCTTCGAGTTGGCGCACGAGACGGTCTAGCTGCTCTTGAGTCAGTGTCGCGATATTAATTTTGGCCATGGCGGGGGTGTCGGGCAAGCTCAGCGAGAGCCTCTGTCGTGGCCGTGCGTGCTTACGAGAGAGCACTTCGAGCGGCAGTGCTTGTTCACTGAGGGACGTCTACCCCCCCAAAAATTGAGATAGTGGGGAAGCGAAGGTGTGGGTGCGGTCTGAGAGGAGATCGTAGGCTCTGAAACCAAGTGTTACGAGTGCAATTGAGCGAGCGAGCGAGAATTGCACTATCGAAACAAAAACAATACAATGAGCGAAGGCATGCGTGAAGAATTTATAGTGAACTAGAGTGGTAACGGTAACGCGAGAAATTGGGGTGCGCTACAGGCCTAGCGCCGAGGTTGGGATATGTCGAGGCGGAGGTCCGGAGCGCGGGTTACCAACCGAACCGTGAGGTTGGGTAGCATCGTTAACAGTGGCGGGAGTCGTTGTCGAGGCGAGTGTCGCGAGCGGGTAACGTTTCACTGTTGGGTGCTGATGGCGGGAATGGTCTTGTACGCGGTAAGCAGGGGCGCGAAGTAAGGAAAATGAATTTTCCTTACAGCCTGTTCATACCAACAAGCGTATGGAAGACTCAAGCTCCCTCATTGCTGATGCTTCAGTTTCTTTCACAATGCACTTGTGCACCAAAAGCGTTCTCTCTATGTACAATGCAACAACAAAAGATCTTTCCTGACTGCGTACGATGGGGGTCATGGTGTCACTACTACACTATGCAGCTGGAGATACTCCTGACAGCAGGATCCTGCAGTACAATTTTTAGAAAGACACACGGTTGCACCAAACACAGGGAAATTGGATAAACAAGGCAGTGCACTTCAATTATAGACATGCAAAGACCAGCATAAGCACCACTTATTCCTGCCTAATACAAGCACGTTACCTCTTTCTCTCTCTGCTGCATCGGCCTTTGAGGGCCACTCATTCCCGACCCAACTTGGGTCAGCTCTGAGTCAGCCTGGAGTCGGCCCTGTGTCTGTGTCAGGCCTGTGTCCAGCTTGTGTCAGCCTTTGTGTCAGCCTTGTGTAAGCTGTGTGTCAACGGTCTCTCTCCCTTGGTCTGAGCGCACCCAGGTTGCACAGGAACTGCCCCTTGGGATCGGGTTCAGTCACAGGGGATGCAGCAGAGGGAAGTGCGTCACTGCTGGAGGGACTTCGGAGTCAAATAGAAGTGGCTGTCTCATTTATGCGGTCTGAGGGCACCCAGGTTGCCCAGGAACCGACCCTTGGGAGCAGACTGGGTTGCAGGGACCGCAGGAGGGGTAGGTGCATCATTGTCGGGGAAAGTGGGTGCTTGTGGGGGTGATGGTGCTGCAGCAGGTGGCGGGGGCATGCTGAAAGGGGGTTGTGGCAGTGAGGGTGTTGGGTCATTGAGAGAAGGATAGGGAGGCTGTGAGATGGATGGATAGAGAGGTTCGGGGGCAGAGGGATAGCGAGGTTGGGGGGGAGTGGGGTAGAGGGATTGTGGGGCAGAGGGATAGGAAGGTTGTGGGAGAGAAGGGTAGAGGGGTTGAGAGGGAGAGGGATACGGGGGTTGGGAGGGAGAGGGATAAGCAGGTTGGGAGGGAGAGGAATAGGAAGGTTGAGGGGCAGAGGGATAGGGCGGTTGGGAGGGAGAGGGATAGGAAGTTTGGGGGGCAGAAGGATAGGGTGGTTGCGAGGAAGAAGGGTAGGGGGGTTGGGAGGGAGAGGGATAGGAAGGTTGGGGGGTGAAGGGATACGGAGGTTGGGAGGGAGAGGGATAAGAAGGCTGTGTGAAAGAGGGATAGGATGGTTGTGAGGGAGAGGGATCAGGAGCAGGTGAGGCAGAGGGGTAGGCGGGTTGACGGGCTGCTGTGGGCGGCACAGGTGGTGGGGCCCACATAGGACCAGGGGCGTCCTTGGCAGAGGGAGTAGGTGCCTGAGGGGAGATGCCTTGTGAGGTGGAGGGGATGGCAGCAGGCGGGGCTGATGCATAGGGTGCTTGCTGGGTTGACTGGAAGGGTGCTTGAGGGGCTGCTGGTGCAAATGGGGTGTGTGGGATGGCTGGGTTGGCTGCTTGGGGTTGACTGACCGCTGCTAGATTGCCCAAGAAGCGTCCCCCTGGGGCGGACGTGGGTGCAGCAGACCAGGCAGGATTGGCAGGTTGACCAGGGTTGGGAGTTGTGCCGGGATTGTGTGATGGATGTGTGGGTTGTGGTGTGGACGGGAAGGGGGATCTGTCTGGCGATTGAGATGGTGCTGCTGACGTGGGCAGAACGGATGGGGCAGATGCGCCACGTGGCATCCGTAGTATCTCCTGCAACACAAAGAGATCCGACAAAAAAAAAATCGCTGGAGGAAAGTCGAGCAACTGGTGCCGTGAAGTAGCAAGGCAAAGAGAGCGGTCCTTTCAGTGCTTCTCTCTACTCCAACAGCCTCTTTTTCACATGAGAAACATGTCAAAGTGCCAGCAACATTCCTCATCTCTCTTTGGCATCCTCCCTTACCTATCCACGTCTTCTGCTCCACACACCCTCCCCACACCGCACCATGCTCTCACCTCTTTCGCCTGCATGTACTTGCTCCAGTGCCTTGCTGTAGATGGCTTCTCCCACCCACCCGGCCCACCATTATATGCTCGCACCACATACTCCTCACTGCGTGTGCTGTTACGGGATGGGCTCGGAGGGGGGTGAGACACGTGTTTTGTGTGTGAGTGTGCGCTGTCCATGTGTGCGAGGCACAGCCAAGGGCGGACCAGTGACAGCAAGATCCATGCAAAAGCGACCCTTATGGGTCGACCACTAACACTCACATGCGCTTATGGGCGATGGAGCTACACAATGTACGTCAATCCCATGAATGGTGAGCCATGCCAGGTGCACCATGCCAAAGTACAAGCCCTAAAAGGAGCTGTGGAGCAAATGGACGACGAACGGCATCAAAGCATGCAAAAGCTGGGACTTACGTGCCCTTGTAGGTGGTGAGCCATGCGAGGTATGCCATGCCATAGTACATGGCCTCGAAGGGGCGGTAGAGCATGGAGGAGGACCAGTCAACAGTGTAGGCGCGGTACCCCATGTCCCTCGCTAGCCACTCTGCTGATGACTGCAGCACCTGCAGTCACAAACACAGTAAAGGCAAGGTAATGAGGAGGCTGGTGTCCACTCGGACAAGTGTGAGGGCGCGGTACCCCATGTCCCTTGTTAGCCACTCCGCGGATGACTGCAGCACCTGCGGTCCCAAACATGGTAAAGGTAAGGTAAAGCAGTGGAGAAACAACGAGTGGTAACCAGTGTCTCTCGCGAGCCACTACCCGTACGACACACCATCCCCACTCCCCCCACCCGCCTCCCACAATCCCCTACCTGCTTCTCACATCCCCTCCCACAACCCCCCTCCTGCTTCTCACATCCCCCCACCTGCCTCCCACACTCCCCCACCTGCATGAGTCCGGTACTCGCCTCCCCAAGGCGGGGCTCGAAGCGGTACGCCAGGGGTTGTCAGCCACGCGCTGTCCACACGCCCACCTGACTGCTTCTCACAGCCCCCCCCCACCGCACCTGCTTCTCACAGCCCCCCCCCCCACCGCACCTGCTTCTCACAACCCCCTACCTGCATGAGTCCGGTGCTCGCCTCCCCAAGGCGCGGCTCGAAGCGGTACGCCAGGGGCTGCCACGCGCTCTCCACGCGCGCCACGGCGCACACTGCCAGCACCGCGTCGCCCTCACTGCCCGCCAACCCTGTCGGCCACAACCGCTTGCCCCGCCCGCTGAAGTGGCGGCGCAGGAGAATGAGCGTCACTCCTTGGAGCTCTGAGGGAAGAGAAGTGGGGTGGGGTGGCGGGGAGGGAGAGGAGAGGAGAGGAAGGAATGACGATGGCGTGTCCTGTGTCACCTCACCACCAGCAGCACCACCACCACGGCGGTGTCGCCCTCACTCTCCACCAGCCCTGTCGGCCACGACACTAAGTGGCAGCGCAGGAGAATGAGCGTCACTCCTTGGAGCTCTGTAGAAAAGCATTGGGGGTTTCAAGATGCAGAATGAGCGTCGTTCCGTGCAGCTATGGGGGAAGCATTGGTGGTTTCAGATGAAGCATAAGCGCCATTCCGTGAGGAACGACATTGGGGGGTTTAAGAAGAAGAATGAGCCCCAATTCGTGCACCTTCAAGGCCGATGTAAGGCACGAGCTTGTCTCCGACCCGTTTCATCTCGAACGGAACCTTTCCCGATGCTTCTCGCCTCCGCTCCCACGCCGTCCTCACGCCTGGCAGGTCCCACATGGCTCGCATGTCGTCGGAACCCGTCCAGTCGTCCCAATAGTAGCCATGATGCGAATTCGAGGGCGCGCGAACGTCTTCCCTATTGCGACGATCCATGCGCCCGGCGAGATTGAATAGAGATCCTGAACCGAAATTGAATCCGGATTTGATCCTTGTCAGCGACCGTCGCGATTGGCTGCAGGTTCTACTCGGAGTTTCAGGAGCGGGCAGGCGAAGCGGAAGATGAGTTTTCTGCCAGGCACCTCGGATGGAAACACCTGACTCAGGTGTAAGAATCAACGGCGGTGAATCCTGCTGATGTAATAGGAATCTCGTTTTGAGGCGCCTCAAAACGGACGGTCGAAGCGGAAGATGAGTTTTCTGCCAGGCACGTCGGATGGAAACACCTGAGTCCGCCGAACAATTCCACCGCGATGAATCTTGCTGTCGCAGTAAGAATCTCCAACTGAAAATAGGAGAGCACGGCGCGTTGAATGTCGGGATGGTCGGACGGAGCCGTGAATTCTGGATCTCGTGACAATGGAGTGCAATGGATGTCGGCGTGGTGGTCGTTAGTAGTCCATCGCTGGACACGCCGCTGAGAAATGGAGAAGGGGAAAGACTAACGGTCCGCATACACGACATCCGCTTTAACGAGAAAATGGTGCGGATGGGGTTCTTCGAAAAAGTAGCCAAGCCTGTGCAGGAGAACAGTTGTTGACTCGAACCGAGGACATTACTAGAATGGTAGTGTGTTGACTAAGATGCCAGCCAACACTCCCAATGCTGAAAGCTGCAAGCTCAGACTGGGAAATTCGGCAGAACCAAGGAAAGACGGAACTAAGACTTTGCACATTGAACGTCTAGTTCCGTCAATTTGCATTGCTTCCTTCATCGATCTGGATGGACCAGGCCTGTCGATTCACGGACATTTGTCCGTTTTCCCTGAGAATTCAGGGTTAATTCAGGGTCCCTGAGGATCTCAGCTATGAGATTTTCAGAAATTGTTTTCCTTTGGCCCGGATTCCTAACGGACAGCATTGGGAAGATTTCCCAGACGGGTCGAAACAGTGATTTCAAATTCGTTTGTGAAGTCCAGAGTGGGAGGGTTGGAAATCCCTGGGAGTGGGAAATCCCTGAGAAAGGTTAAAAAAACACACACACACACACACAAAAATGAAGGGTGTGGAAGATCTTTCGATGTTCGACGAGCAACATCATTGGAAGACCTCGTTATAGCTTTGTTTTTGACAGTAGAACCTTCGTATAACGGAGTCATTAATAAGATTACCCGTCACGTACTTGTACCCGTTAAATTACACCTTTTGTTTAAGAATAGCCCACTGTCATTATGGGGCCTGCCTATGATTCCGCTGCATGCACCACCGTGCCGGATCCACGAAATTCGTTTGTAAGGTGCTCCTCCACAAACTTTTTGAAGGGTGTGGAAGATGTTCGACAAACACCGTCATTATACCTCAGTTTTCGACAGTAGAACCTTTGTATGACGGAGTCGTTTAGAAGATTACCCGTCACCCACTTTTACCCGTCTAAAGCATAGCCCACCTCCTTCATGGCACCACCGTGCGTTATCCACAAATACGTCAGTTAAGATTTTCACACTCACGTAATTTGTTACCGTGTGTCACTTTTTTCGTAACGATCGTTCAGTTTCGTGACATCTGTACCCATGGTCATGAGCACAACCTCGGCCCAACTGGTTGCTTTCCCCTCTTCCTCCTCTTCCCCAAGCCTCGCGTTGCTGAAGTGACGAACCTAGTAGTTCTTATATCGAGGTCCCGTCGCTTACAGAATAGGCACGGATCAGGTCGCCGCACAAGACTCCTGGCGCTTGTCGTGCAGATTCTTCAACTTTTTATTCTAAAGTCCACGGTTTAAAAACCATGGGTCCGTCGCAGAAGCACGTGTTAAATCTCCACATGGGATCGGCTCCCGTGTCGGCCACGCTCCACCCGTCCGTGCTCTTCAGCATCTGCGACTCGTTCATTCGCCGCAACGAGGACACGCAGCGCGTCATCGGATCGCTCCTAGGCGTCGTGCATCCCGACGGCACTGTGGACATCCGTAACGCGTATGCCGTCCCGCATAACGAGATCAGCGACACGGTACGAACCGGTCGCTTTTGGCCCTTCGATTTAGTCACATGCACATTGCGGGGTAACACCACATCCGGAATTCTCGATTTTGCCGTTCAACTAGGAACCCTACCAAACCCTCTCGTTTCTCCGCTCGCTCTCGTTCGTTTCCAAGCAAGGGCTGGCAATGAAATGAGAGGGTAGAGTGAGAGCGCGGGACATCGTTTAACATCGCATTATGTCGGAGCTTTGAGGCCCCTCGAACCCTGATCCGCTGTCTCCGTGATTCCCGCCGCAGGTGGCGCTGGACATCGAGTACCATCGGACCATGGCGGAGCTGAGCCAGCGAGTTAACCCCAAGGAGACGATCGTCGGATGGTGAGTGTAACGAAGGTGCTTATAATGAGAGACGAATGAGCGGACGAACCCCAGGGAGGCGATTGTGGGATGGTGAGCGTAGCGAAAGTGCCTATAGGGTCCCTCACTCGGTAGACAGCGAGGGAAATCGGAGGAATATCATAGGATGCTGAGCTGTCACGCCCAAGGGTACTGCTGTGGGAGTGGTAAGATTGACTTCTGACGGGGGTGATTGCACAATGGTGAGTTGGAAATAACCCCTCTCCTCCCATCCCCCACGTTCCCGCCCTCCTTTCTCGCCTCTTCGTGTTCCCACTTTCTCTCCCTCCCTCATACCCCATACATTCCCTCGTTCTCCCGTCCACCTATTTCCCCTGCCTCGCATTTCCTCGGGAACTCCTCGGTTTCCTCTGTGAGCCTTGTCCGCCCACCTCTTTTCCCTCACCCGTACTCACACATACCCTCAGATATATTACTGGCTCCGGGGTCAGTCCCTTTGACGTTCTAATCCGTTCTAATCAGTTCTAATCCGTTCCTAATCCATGACTTTTACACCAAGGAGGCAGGCCACCCCATCCACCTCACCATCACCACCTCCTCCCCCACACCCACACATTCCCTCAGGTACTCCACTAGGTCAGGTGTCAGCCCATTTGACGTGCTCATCCACGACCTTTACGCCGAGGACGCTGGCCTCAAGGCATCGCTAACCTATTATTCCCTCCCCGCTACACTACTCTTTCAGGTACCCCATAGGCTCCGGAGTGAGTCCTTTTGACGTGCCAATCCACGATCCTCACAACAAGGAGGCGGGCCACCCCATCCACCTCACCCTTACGATTCACCTCTTCCCCCACACCCACATATTCCCGTCCTCTCAGGTACTCTACTGGTTCCGGAGTCAGTCCCTTTGACGTGCTGATTCACGACTTTTACACCAAGGAGGCGGGTCATCCCATCCACCTCACCATAGACACCACCTTCCAGTCGCTCGCCGCTGGTGGTGCTTCCGGCCAACCAGGCGGCGTCACGTCAGCGGTGCGCGCGTACGTGTCGACGCCGCTGTTCATTGGCGAGAAACAGCTGGCGGCGGCGTTCCAGGAGATTGAGGTGGATATGAGGATGGCTGATGCTGAGAAGATCGGATGTGAGTGAAAGGGGGGGAAAAGAGGGGAGGGGGATGGATGGATGGTGGGGTTGTGGGGGTTGGCGGTTGAGTTGAACGAAGCTGGGGTTGAGGCTACTCACGGCGTTTCAGGAGATTGAAGTGGACATGCGCATGGCTGATGCTGAGAAGATCGGATGTGAGTGAAGGGAGAGGAAAAGGGGTGGGGGGGGAAAGAGGGCGGGAAGGGGAGGGGGGGAAGATATTGGGGAGATGTGGGGTTTGAGACGGGGTTGGGGTTGAGGCTACTCGCAGCTGGCGGCGGCGTTTCAGGAGATCAAGGTGGATATGAGGATGGTTGATGCTGATAAGATCGGATGTGAGTGAGAAAGGTGGATGTGTAAGAGGGTTGGTCGGGGTCGGGGGTGGGGTCAGGGTCAGGGTGGGGGTCAGGGTGGGGGTCAGGGTGGGGGTCAAGGTCGGGGTCGGGGTCGGGGTCAGGGTCGGGGTCAGGGGTGGGGTTGCACGTACCTCACAACCTCATCTGCTCCGCCCTTCCCGCCCCTTGCTTGCCTTTGCTTTGACCTCCCTCGCTTGACACTCTCCAGTTGACAACCTGCGCCGCACGTCTGTGGAGAGGCTACCAGCGGACATGGAGGGGATTGAGGCCACCATGGGGCGACCTTAAGGCGACTGCAGGAGTGCCACTTGTTCATCTATCGCCCGCCTTCCCTAACCCGACACTCCCTATGCCCCTCCCTACGCTCCTCCAGTTGACAACCTGCGGCGCACATCAGTGGAGCGCCTACCAGCGGACATGGAGGGGATGGAGGCCACCATGGGGCGACTGCGGGAGTGCCGCTTGTTTCATCTACCACCTTCCTTCCCTAACGCGACACTCCCTACGCCCCTCTCCCTTCCCCAGTTGACAACCTGCGCAGGACGAGTGTGGAGCGCCTACCAGCGGACATGGAGGGGATGGAGGCCACCATGGGCCGACTGCGGGAGTGCCTGCCACTTGCAACCCCTCCCTAACCCGAAACACGACACACCTTTCTCCCCCTCCAGTTGACAACCTGCGGCGCACATCAGTGGAGCGCCTACCAGCGGACATGGAGGGGTTGGAGGCCACCATGGGACGACTGCAGGGCATGGTGGATGGGGCGCTCGGTTATGCGACTGATGTGGTGGTGAGTGGCGTGGTTTGATGTGATTGTAAAGAGGGGGAAGGGGGGGGGGGATGGGCCGACTGCAGGGCATGGTGGATGGGGCGCTTGGTTATGCGACTGATGTGGTGGTGAGTGGTGTTGAGTGGTGTAGTAGTGTGGTGTGATTGTGTTGCGAAGCATGGTGGGATTGCATGCACTGCAGGGCATGGTGGATGGCGCCTTGGGTTATGCGACTGATGTGGTGGTGAGTGGTTGAGTTGAGTTCAAATGAAGTCATGGACTCAAGGCATGGTGTGACTGTAACAAAGGCATGGGGCGGGCGACTGCCTGGCATGGTGGATGGATGGCGTTCTGGCGTATGTTTCTGATGTGGTGGTGAGGGATTGTGCT